CTGTAATTATTTTTTAAGTGGTATATCCCATAAATATATATGGGGTATGGCTGTTGCTGCACCCCAAGTTCTAACCCTAATAAGAATAGCAAGAAGAAAAAGGCTATTCACAGATATACAAAAAATCTTACTTACATTGAGCATGCCTCATTAATTAAAGAAAAATGTCCCTCACACTCATTTCCTCCAATGTAGCTGCAAACACAAACCAAGAAACAACCAGGCTCAAGCACAGAAATAGATACAATCTAACACACACACAAGTGTGTCTCACTTGTGCATGACAAAGATACAGAAGATCACTCAACAGAGACTCAGGCCGTCAATCACATAGACTTCACCATGCAATTAATGGCCTGTGGTCATCCATGATGTTCAGGATGTCTCAAAATTGAAAATCCTATACGGACACACATGTGTGTGTTGATAAGTAGTTCAACATTAATTTTCCTAGTAACTAACAACTACAGACATACACTGCACCAGAGCATTTGCCTTGCCAAGCCACATCTTTTCTTTTCTCATCTTTCATTTGCTCTATGACTCCCACTCCCAACCCTGTGCTAGGCAATTCAGTTCTCCAACTTTCTCTTACAGATTTACCACCAGACTGTAACTTATCCACAACCTGCTTGTTTGACAACAACATCCACAAATTTGACAAATTGTTACCACCATGAGACATGCACTTAATTCAAATATTAAACTATAAAACCTCAAAACCTTTCACAACTGGGCTATTTACTACACTTCACCAGCCTCTGAACAAACTGCATTATATTGCAAGAAATAAGAAAATGCAAAAGTCTCTGTCGCACTAACAGTCTCACACTGAATGCTTCCTCTTTTTCCTTCTCATTTCATTTATTGTCCAAAAATATTATATATTGGCGCCAGAAACAAACAAACAGATGCGACGAAATTAAAATTTGAAAGAGAAAGAAACTGAATCGCATATGAAAGCTTATATACAAACAAACGCAGACCTTTTGTTTCTCAGCGTCGATGTAACTCTTCACGCCAGGAACCAACCTGTAATTGACAAAATCAAACAGAAACGAATAATTAAACCGGTGATATCTTAAATTAAGAAAGAAACAAGTAAACAGAAATGAGCATTCTACTGAAAGCTCACTTGACGAAGCTCATGAAGAACCCTAGCAGAGTGGCTTTGAGTCCGTTCTCGTGCAGGACTTGGAGAGCCGAGTGAAGCATGGAAGCAACGAAGAGTGCGATAAGAGGAGCAGAAACCAGAACCAGAGGCTCGTATTCGGACAAGAATGAATTCGCGGAAGCTCTAACATCAAGCAGGAACGATTTCACAGAAGAATCCATGGCTGAACTGAACAACCTGATTACAGTCCAAGACTACGTCGGTGAAAATTCAAAACCAGTAGAGAAAATTACGGATAGATAGTGAGGCTTGGTTGAAAAATTGTTAAGGCGTAAACGTAAGCGCTTTGGGTTTGGTTGGGTTGCGTAGCTTAGAGAGCTTCTTACCAAATGGAGTTTTTGGATTTTGGATTTGGATTATGCTTTGTTGGCGAAATTTCTGATTGTTCGATGCAAATGTTTTGTTGATGTTGGTGTGGACGGAGTGTGAAAGAAGAGACAAAGCGTTGAAATTCTTATAATTGGTCCGGCTGCCTTCTCGATCAGAACACCTTTTTTCTGTTTTATTTAATTGTGCTATTATGAATTAATTTGCAGCGACGCGACCTTTTTATAAATTAATTATCACATGTGATATATTACGACCGACTCTTTTATGAAAGGGTAATGTTATACTTACCACATAAATCTATCACATTTTAATATCATTTTACATGGCAGCTGATGTGGACAATCACCTCATTAAAATTATATTAGGGTTTTTTTTAAGGAGATAATATTTTCTATATTTTTCTTTAGTTAAATTTTTTTATAAAAAAAACTAAACCCTATTGATTTAGAGACCACTTTTCACACGTCTCTCTACCTCCCCCAATTCTCTCCCTCCCTCCTTCCTCTCCCCATAGCAGGTGCTTGGCCGGACTTCCGCCACTGCTCCACCAGACTTTTGACGTAGTTTCTCCGCTCTACTCCTTCCTCCACGGTTTTAGGTTAGTAAACCTTCGTTATAACATTCTTTTTCTGTTTAGCTTACCTTGTTTCTTTTTTGGATGAATGCTTTCTTCTCACACACGGTTGCTGAATTGTTAATTTATTTGTCTCAATCAGTATTTATTTGCCTGATATCGATATTTAGATAGAGGTTATGGGAAGCACAATATGCCAAGATTAAGTTTCAGGGAAAAGGATTACGAAGAGCTCAACCACAAAATGGAAGCAAAATGGAGAATAATATTTTTTGTTTTACCTTCTTGTTGAAATTTACAAATTTAGTTCAGGTAATGATGCACTCACTTTGAACGGAAAATGGTGTATCAAGCGGACATGTTGCCTTTCACTTTGAGACAAGACAAGAGCCTATTTTTCAATTGTCCTTTCAACTTTACATTGTTCACTTTAGTTTGGCAGCATTTTGGACAGTCCAAAGTTTTCCTGTTTGTTCTTCTTTTTTGGGTACAATGAAATCTTATGCTTACAATTATAATAAACATTTTCAATCTGAATGCATCATCCATATATAGTAAAAGGAATTTAAATAATGGCATAAAGAAAGCTTAAAGATGGATAGATAGATAGATTAACAAAAGCAGCAATAGAGTAGACTACTACTCTTTATTCGTATAGCACTGAGTAAGTAGTTCCAAGCTATTTGCGCAAATCCTTGAAATAGGCAGCTGGGTTACACATATGGAAATCAACTTTGAAGAGAGTTATGATATATTGATTTTGAACTTTTTGATATCATCTTTTAGGTATTAAGCTAATGGGTTTGGACGGCTGTTGTGTACATATTCCCACTCATGAATTTCATGGAGGCAAATGGTTCATCATGAATTTAATAAGTGTGCAAATGGTATTAAGCTATGCATTTGTCTGTTACACCCTGCTCATGAATTTCATAAAAGGAAATGGTTCATCATGAACAATACAAACTGCAAATGAGAGAATTTATACAGCAACCATTGAAAACTAACAAAATACATTAACTTATTTATGCTTTAACGATTAGATCTCTAACTATAAATGAGATATAAATGAAATCCAGTACATCAATTAGATACAATCTATTATCCAATGGAGGGGGGGGAGGAAGTTTGCAGAGGTCCGACAAAGCGCCGACAATTATAAACAAATCTTGATTTGAAGAAGTCTGGCAGAATGACGTTAGAAGTCTGGCGGAGCGGTGGCAAAAGTCCTACAGAGCACCTGCGATGGGGAGGAGTGGTGGCAGAAGTCCGGCCAAGCACTGCGATGGGGAGGAGAGGAAGGAGGGAGAGAGAGAATTGGGGGAGGCAAAGAGACGTGTGAAAAGTGGTCTCTAACTCAGTAGGGGAGTTTGTTTTTAAAAAAAAAAACTAATTAAAGAAAAATATAGAAAATATTATCTCCTTAAAAAAAACTAATATAATTTTAATGAGGTGGTTGTCCACATCAGCTGCCATGTAAGATGGTATTAAAATGTGGTAGATTTATGTGGTAAGCATAGCATTACCCTTTATGAAATAGGCTTTTTATCACAAATGGTCCTTGATGTTTACTAAATTATCACGAATGGTCCTTGAGGTTTTTTTGTGACATTAATAGTCCTTAACGTTAGGACTTTTTATCACAAATGGTCTCTGTCGTTAGAAATTCTGTTATGCTCCGTTTGGATGAAGGAATTGCCAATTACATAGAATTATAAAATGACGGAATTTAGATTTCCGTCATTTCAATTTCTAGCAATTGACGATTTCAGTGTTTGGATTTATGCATGTCGGATTTCGTAAATGACAGAAATTGAAAATTTCAATGTTTGGATATCTCATGTAAATTATAAATGACAGAAGTATAAAATAACATATCGTTTGATGAACTAAATAACTCAACTTAAACAAATAGAACATATTAGAAAACCAAATCACTCCCCACGTGCAATAAACATCAGCAACATACTCTTTTTTTTCTCAATTGGGAGTGCCTTCAGTATCTGAAATTGTTTGTCATTTTCTATCAGCCAAGCACATGCTTTGAGTTGTTCATTTTCACTAAGACCTGGTACTGCTTGTACTTCAGCATATACCTCTGCTGGATCAAGGTTCTTAGTATCAGCACGGATAAACTCTGCTGGATCAAGGTTCTTAGTATCAGCACGGATAAACTCTGCTGGATCAAGGTTCTTAGTATCAGCACGGATAAACTCTGCAACAACAGAAAAAAACAGAGCACATGATTAAAAAAAAAAAAACTTTTAATTTATATATTTACCTTCACGTATTCTTCCCAAACATGATCTTCATCTATGCTTATCATCGTTTTTTGTTGAATCCTAACTGAATCCACTTTGACTTAATATATCACTCACTACTCCATAGAACTTTTTCCATGACTTAACACGATTTCTAATATTATCAGCACTTATTTGGAGATTAAATTGTGCAGCTAATATATTTGCAGCAGTATTGTAAGCAACTGCCTTCCATCCACCATCTCCTTTGTGACCTAAGCTGCGCTCCTCCCGAAGTATATCAGCTAATTCACATTCCATAGCTATATTGCACCGAAAATAGTTTTTGTCTTCTCCTTCAGGCTCAACTCCTTGTTTGTCTTTCCTTTTCCTTGACTTTCCCTTGCAAGCCTCTTTTCCTCCAAATCCATTCATGATTTTAGCCCCTGCTTGTTCACTTTTGCACGTTTAAAATACAATTAGAAAGAAAATTAGGTAGAGAATCCCAACATTGGACATCAGTAAGCATGACAACATGTGATAGAATAGTCAAGTACTCATACAAACAAATAACATAAGAATTAATGATCATTCTAATTAACTTTTTCTAAATAAAAAAACAAAAAAAAAACCATGAAGTACATGAAACAAGAGAAACAAAGGTCCAAGTGTGAACAATAAATCAAGAATTAATGATGCCTCGTTGCACTTGATAATTATGGAACATCTCTACTGCCAATGTGTCTCGAAAGTTTGTCCATTGATCAGTAACTTGAACACTTGCAATCCTATCATGAGCATTATTTCCCTCCAAAGTCGAATGATTTGATATGTCATGATCCACAGAAGCTAAAAATTCCAAATCTTGAACTTCTAAAATAGGATCATTAGCTTGCTCAGTTCGAATGAAGTTATGCAATACAAAGCATGCATTTATGATTCTAACTTGCATTTTGATGTTGAAAAATGAAGGTGTACATAATATACTCCATCGTTTCTTCAATAGTCCAAATCCTCTTTCAACTACATTCCTTGCAATTGAATGACGTAGATTAAATAACTCTTTGTAATTTTCAGGTTGATTATTCCCACTCCATTCACTCAAGTGATATCTAGTTCCTCTATACGGTGCTAAAAACCCCGGTCCATTAGTATAACCCGCATCCACAAGATAGTACTTATCTACAATAAGAAATTTTAAAAAGCAAATTAGATATAAAGAGCTAGCTTGTATTGAAAAAAAAGAAGAAAAGAGGAAATAATATCAATCTAATTTAGAACTAGTATTAAAACTTACCTCTTGCAACATGAAATCGGTTGTTCCTACGTAAAGCATCTCGCAATATACGAGCATCAGATGCAGAGCCCTCCCATCCAGGTAATACATAAATAAATCTCAAATCTGGAGCACAAACCCCTAAAACATTAGTGGAGAGATCGCCCTTCCTATTTCGATATCTTGGTCTTTCTTTTGCTGACGCTGTTACCGGAATGTGAGTTCCATCAAGTGCCCCAAGACAATTCTAAACATGAAATATAAAAAAGTATAAGTATGAAACTTAAGATAACTAGTTGAAAAATAAAATAAAATTCTTATTTTTTTTCTAGTTATATAAGTACCTCAAACCATTGCCATTTGCTTCTTTCGGAACTCCCAACAGTACTTGGCTGGAATTTTATGTATTCTTCACTAATTCTCATCACGGCATATAAGACTCTGTTAAATTGCCGACTAATTGTTTCGATTGAACGGTAATAGTCAAAACCAATGACGTCCTTTGCTGGTTTAAATGGATACCATTAAAGAAACATACTCATGGCGTCCTTTGCTGGTTTACTACAGAGTAAATCATGACGTACTTAACTATGGTACTATAAAGTATCTCCTGAGAGCATACTCATGGTTCAAGCTTAAAGAAACATCATTAGTACTTATTACATGCTTTGCTTTGCTGCTCGCATAAGAATGCTTTTACCACAGAAGGATTATTACAGCAGTTGAATTAAAACGTAGATAAGAATTAAGACTATGACAACAGTGACTTTAGGCATCAGTAAACACAAAGATCACAAAACCCATTCAACACATTCATAAATTTAGTCAGAAACACCCAATTTGATAGCCATTCAGAAACCATGGTAACCCTAAAATAGAAAAATATAAATTGAAGGAGAGAAAGGCTTGAAGACTAACCTTCAAACTTGATCAAGAGAGACGTGTAACCCAAGAAGAACTCATTCTCCTTACTTCTCTGGCTCACAATTTTTTTATGATGCTTCTTACTTCTCTGGCTCGCAGCTTTTTTTATAAAGCGACAAGGCAATCTGTTGTTCAGGGTTTCATAGGTTTTATAGAGCGACAAGGCCTCCAAACTTGGCGCTGTTTTTAAGTTTGGCGCTTTTTTTTTTTTTTTTTTCATGAAAATTTTGGCACAACGGAAAATATGAATTCCTGCACTGTGGAAATTGTCAAATGACGCCTATTTTGGTGGAAATTAAACTTGGGAATTTGATGCCTCAATTTCCATGATTTTTTCCGCGTGTCATTTAATAAATTCCGCGCTTAAATTGCCAAACAAGGGAATTGTCAATTTCTCATCTTAAATTCCCGACTTTTAGCTAAATTCCGCGTTATTTTGCCTCATCCAAACGGAGGGTTAAGTGTCTGAGAATGGAAGATAAGTGAAGCCTACATATACAATCACATAGTGACATGTGGATTAAATAAATAAATAATTTTTTTTTTGGGATGAAAGTCCATTCTCTCTCTCTCTCTCTTTCCCTCTTCCCAGTGGCGAACCTAGTGTATAGGTGCTTCAAATTGCCCCTCTGCTCAACTGGTGTATAGATTACCTTAAGTTTACTCCTTTTACTTTCATTTATTTTTATTTTACTCCATTTACTTAAGTTTACAATGTAAATAAGGAAGTACCCCCAATTTGGATTCAAAAAAAAAAACTAGAAAATCAAATTCCCACCAAATCAAAATATGAAAAATCTGTTTTAGTGCAAAATACGATTTAGGCTAAAAATGATGGCTCGTTAAGTCAATATATACTTCATACTAAAATCCCATAAAATCAAGTTTTCTTATTTGATGTGTAAGGAATAAAACCCGCCAAAAATTATCTTGAGAAAATGATTATTCTGAAAAACCATTTTTCATACTTAGTCAATATTGCACCTATGCTAAAAAAATTCTAGGTCTGCCAGTGCCTCTGCCCTCACTCCATGTGCTCTCCCTCTCCCTCTGTTTTTTTCTTGCCTCTACAACCCGACCACCCATGCCCAGCAACCCACCCCAAAGATATTGTTATATAGGTATACATTTTCTCTACCACTGTATTATTGACCACTCCAAGCCTGTATTGGGGGAACATAAAGCCGCTGATGGATTCCTATTGAAGAGAGGACAACTTGGCCATCAAGGGCTAATCCAAACAAGAGTGAACTTGCGATATATGGTACTTCTTGTGTTCTTAATACAGCTTAGAGTGGAAAAAATAAATGCATTATTTGCTTAGCCTCTGACTTATCTATTTACCTCTTACTTTATTTTTGGTGAAAATCATATGCTTTATGTATGTGTTATAATTTTCATTCAGATTGCAGAGGGGGAGAGAGGGAGCAAAGGAAAAAATAGAAGGAGAAGGAGAGGACAGGGAGGAGAGCGGGAGAGTAGAGGGGGAGAGAGAAGGCAGAGGGTGGAGAGTGAGGGCAGAGGGGGAGAGAGATGGAGTAGGGGAAGGGGGATGAAAAGTTGTAGAAAAAAATATATGGAATTTTCATTAAAAAAGATTATTTATTTATTTATTTTCATCCACATGTCACAATGTGATTGGATATGTGGGCTTTACTTATCTTCCACGTCACACTTAACAGAATTTCTAACGGTAGGGACTATTTATGATTTTAAAAAAACCATAACGTTAAGGACTATTAATGTCACAAAAAAACCTCAAGGGCCATTCATGACAATTTTGTAAACATTAAGGACCATCTGTGATAAAAAGTCTATGAAATATATACAAACTGCACATGGTAAAAATTCATGAACAGTAAAAGTTGAGATTATACAAAATAATCACATTTTAAAATTGATAAAATAAATTTTCTCACCATAGTTTAAAGGGTGATTTTATTGGCACCTTATTATTTGCTATTTGCACCCAAGGTATTAAATGCCGATATTATCGGTTTTTTGGGGGGCCAATATTTTCGCAGCTAGCCATGGTGTTATTGTCAATATATCGATATTTTTATCGATATTGTGGGAGCAAATTTCCTCCCACGGGAATATTCGGTTGAAAGATTCCTTCGTCTTCTCCGCCCCTCTTTCTCCCTGCAAAACGAATAGCAATAAGAGGACCACACCCGGGGGGTGTTGGCCAAAGGCCCTCTGATGCCTAAATTAGTTCAAGAGTTTTGTAAAGAAAACACTAGCTAACTAGGGTACGGAGTTATATGTGTTTTTGGGATGAATCGAGCGGCCGGAGCCTTATGTAAAAGAGGGAGAGAAAGGAGGTGGCTAGGGTTTTTGAGAGATAATTTCTGCAGAGTTTCAATAGGAGTTTAGATGTACCTCAACCCTTGTGTGTGGCCATCCTTTTATAGAGGTCTTGGGGGCTAGGGTTTCAGAGGAATAATTTCGTAGATGGAAGGGAATTATTCCTCCCCAATTTGGCGAAATTT